TGATTTTTTTTATTATATATAAAAGGATATATTTATCAAATAGTGTAATTGTTTAATCAGAGCAGTATTTCTGCTGGCAATAAAACAGTTACGGGTTTTGAATGAAACAAATCTCAGTTAAGGTATCAAATTTGAACAGGTAAATGTACAATACAACAAAACATCCTAATTTACATAAGCAAGTAAAAAATATAGTAGAGGATGAATTGGTAAATCATCTCATTGTGAACACTTACATGAACCATTCAAATGAACTGTTTCACTAGAATGAATCCTTAATGCTACAGTAGACTGTTGAGAGGACTGTTTTAAATGAACCAGTCTGCTAGAATAAAAGAGAATGAGAGAGGACCATTTTGGCAATTGTGTTTGATTATTTGCTTATTTAAAAAACTATGTAACTACTGGTTGTGCTATACAGTACCTCTACTAAAAAAAAAAACCTCAGTGGAAAAGCTACGCACTTTTGGCATTTGGAAGTCACTGGAGACTGATAACATAAATAAGCACTATACTCAAAAATAAATAAATCACACATACATACCCCCCAAAAGACAAATAGCAATCTAGTGGAAAGCAGGTAGTAACAGATAAACAATATAATTATTACCATTTAATTACCATTCAAAAGATTGGGGTTTAGTAAGTTTTTTCAAAAATACAGTAAAAAAAACTGTATTTTTTATTATTACACTGTACAATACCTTTTTTCTATTTGAATATATTTTAAAATATAACAAATTCTTGCGATGTCAAAGCTGAATTTTCAGCAGACATTACTCCAGTCTTCGGTAGTTTGGTGCTCAAGAAACATTTCTTATTATTATCAGTCTTGTGCTTCTTATTTTTTTGTGGAAACCTTGAAGCATTTTTTAGGGATTATTTGATTTTAAAAGAACAGTATTAATTTAGAATATTTTTTCTTTAGTAATCAAGTAAAACTGTCACTGTCACTTTAAATCTGGAACTTTGAATTTAATGCATCCTTGCTGAATAAAATATTAGTATTATTACTTTAAAAAACTTATTGACCCCAAACTTTTAAATGCTATAGTATACATGGAAATAAAACACATAATAGTAAATGTGTGTTCAGGTGGGTCATTTTTAAAATAACATTTCCTATTTTCAAACGGCAATTAAAAAAAAAGATTCTATATGGTATTGTAGCACCACCCATTACCCAGCATGCTTTGTGTTTGTGTAACTTACTGAGTTTGCAATATTATGTGAAAATTAGCTAAATGAGTTTGCGTATATATAGTTAAGTGTACTACTGGAATTGGATTTTAAATAGCATGTTTGCTATTTGTGTTACCATTATGGATCTTGTATTACAAAGAATGTAGTACCTGATAACTAGCCTTGTTTTGAAATAGTTTATGTTTGTGTTACTTTTATCTTGTGTGTGTGTACCTGGTATTCACTATGGGGACCAAATGTCACCACAAGGATAGTACCAGTAAATTTATTTTGGCATTTGGAAGTCACTGGAGACTGATAACATAAATAAGCACTATACTCAAAAATAAATAAATCACACATACATACCCCCCAAAAAACAAATAGCAATCTAGTGGAAAGCAGGTAGTAACAGATAAACAATATAATTATTACCATTTAATTACCATTCAAAAGATTGGGGTTTAGTAAGTTTTTTCAAAAATACAGTAAAAAAAAAACTGTATTTTTTTATTATTACACTGTACAATACCTTTTTTCTATTTGAATATATTTTAAAATATAACAAATTCTTGCGATGTCAAAGCTGAATTTTCAGCAGACATTACTCCAGTCTTCGGTAGTTTGGTGCTCAAGAAACATTTCTTATTATTATCAGTCTTGTGCTTCTTATTTTTTTGTGGAAACCTTGAAGCATTTTTTAGGGATTATTTGATTTTAAAAGAACAGTATTAATTTAGAATATTTTTTCTTTAGTAATCAAGTAAAACTGTCACTTTAAATCTGGAACTTTGAATTTAATGCATCCTTGCTGAATAAAATATTAGTATTATTACTTTAAAAATCTTATTGACCCCAAACTTTTAAATGATATAGTATACATGGAAATAAAACACATAATAGTAAATGTGTGTTCAGGTGGGTCATTTTTAAAATAACATTTCCTATTTTCAAACGGCAATTTAAAAAAAAGATTCTATATGGTATTGTAGCACCACCCATTACCCAGCATGCTTTGTGTTTGTGTAACTTACTGAGTTTGCAATATTATGTGAAAATGAGCTAAATGAGTTTGCGTATTTATAGTTAAGTGTACTACTGGAATTGGATTTTAAATTGCATGTTTGCTATTTGTGTTACCATTATGGATCTTGTATTACAAAGAATGTAGTACCTGATAACTAGCCTTGTTTTGAAATAGTTTATGTTTGTGTTACTTTTATCTTGTGTGTGTGTACCTGGTATTCACTATGGGGACCAAATGTCACCACAAGGATAGTACCAGTAAATTTAGACTTTGTGGGGACTTTTTTTTTGGTTTCCATGAGGAAACAAGCTTATAAATCATAAAGAATGATTAAAGTTTTTTGAAATCTAAAAATGCAGTAGGTTTTGTGTGAGGGGTAAGTTTAGGGTAGGGTAAGGGTATAGAAAATACAGTTTGTACAGTATAAAAACTATGACGTCTATGGAATGTCCCCATAATGATAGGAATACCAGCATGTATGTGTGTGTTTACAGTAATGAACCACAAGAAAGTCTTTTGTGGAAGATGTCTGATAAAATATTCATTAATTTGAGAAGCCTCAGTCCCTGTACCCATTAGCTGCCATGTGGTTTCTAAACTGACCTAATTAGAGCGGTGACAGTTCTTCAAAACTTTTGCCTAACCGCACTGTCAAAACGTATAAGTCAACTGCTGACATCAATTAAGCGAGCTTCCTACAGTGGGGCAAAAAAGTATTTAGTCAGCCACCAATTGTGC